CATCCTTTCCACGAAGCGGCTAGGGTATTTCCATGCCGATATTCTACCTGCCAGCTCAAACCATCCAGAGGATTTCCCAGCGGTTTCCTGGAATATGATGTACCTGTTATCTTCAACAGCGAAGCCACAACATGGACCTGGCCCATGGACAACTGAATTAGACCTGTTTTTAGTACAGTAGGAAGCGGTTTCTGCTAGTTATGCAGCATTCTTCACATTAACTCCCTGGTGTTCTTCGGCCTAAAAGAATACCCCACAGTATGTTAACCGGGCCCACCGACTACGCATTCGTTTTGTATCAACTTCGTTCTTTTGCCTTAGATGGCCCGCTTTGACACGAGTAACGTTTGCGTGAACGCACTCTGCGAACTGTGCGTTCATGTGATAACTATATCCACGATCGGCTATACGTAAGCCGCCTTCTCCTTTAGCGTTTTTGTCTTTAATAAGCGTTTTCTGACCTTCCTCCCGTGCCTTAATTTTGCACCTGGAATGCCAGTCCTCATATACCGCAGCCGCCCAACCTAAGAGAAACTGTAGCCATACATATCAAACACAAACCACTGTAAGCAAATACAGAAAAACATCTAAATTTCGCGAAGCTGCTGAGTCGTTCTTAGCTTCGTTGTAATCGTTTATTCCCATTTCCAACTCCTGCCGCCCTCTTCGCTTCAATTTGTATCTCCGACATGAACTCAAGCTTAAATCGTCATGCATTTCATGTCCAGCCCACCAAATCCCTTCACTTCATTCAGCAGCGCATTTGGACATTTGACGGTTTAACCGAACTTATTTGTTCCTTTATTCATTTTACTTGGAAAATAGTGTAAGGCCACTTCTGAGTTCAGAAACTTTTTACGCATCGTTGCTTTCCTCTTCGAGCATTGAACTAATTCATTCATTTGAGGTGGTGTTACAAGTTGTTCATGGCTCTGCCTCAAACTGGAGGCCGAATTAAACGCTGTGCGTGTTGTATTTTTAAAAAGAGCTGCAATTCTTAGCTGCGGTATATTGTATCCGAAACTCCTTAAGGTAGGCACCGAACTACTCTGGTGTCTTTGTGTTCCCACGTGAGCCCGTAATCCCAAAGCCCACAATATCTGACGCCTGGTAACCTATAAACCAGTAAGGAGGACTTATTCTTTGACCAAGCGCTTATGCGTCTTTGTGTCTCTTTTGTACTACTATCAATGCATTTGCTCATTAAAAATTGGATCCGGATTATTTAGGCAACCTATTTCGCAACCTCCGGCCACGGTTTACGCCCTGAAACACTAATAGAGGGTTTTTCAAAAATGCAATGAGCTATCGTGAAACCTTCCGTGTCGTTTAATCCAGAATTTTTAATTTTGCGTTACGTATTATGCCTGATAGGTAAGTACAAAAAGGTTTTTTATTTTTTTCATTTCGGGAACCACACAAACATAGAATGC